ACGTTGGATTCTTATCACAAGACGTCATGTATTGTATTTTTGATGATAACAACGTTTGCTTAGCATGAAACAGTGCTTGATTTATTCTGGTTATTTATACTACGTACGCTCGATAAGAACTTTTAAAAAAGATAGGATATGCCAATGAAAGAGAACTGTGTTTAACAACTTGGATATCTATAACATTCTCTTTTTCACATGTTTAAATATTTTCACCTCTATTAACACATTTGGTAGCCGTTATTTTATTACAATTATTTTATTTATTCTTAATTAAGATATGTGCATTTGGTTAATTGTATAATTTATATTCGTTACACACACACTAACGAAATATTCCGTAAACTTGATAAAATTATAATTAGAGGGACAACATACGTCCGAATTCGTACCTTCTTAAAGATATTACAAAAATGGAATACATGCATCTCTCTCTCTCTCTCTCTCCCCCCCTCTCTTTCTCTTTATCCTTCTCCCTCCCCCTCTCTGTGTGAATTGCTTTACATGCGCATCGATACATGCAACACGTACAAGGATTCGGCGCGAAATATGACGCACGTGCGACTCTCGTTAGCGACATAAGCGAACGAGCCGGGAAGCGAGAGCGGAGAGGGCGAGAGATACTGGAGTGGCTAAGGAGTGGCGGGCTAAATATAATCCGTAGATCAGAAAACACGCATACGAAGTGCGTAATCCCCCGCCTAGAAACATGTTTGGCCGCCTTAAAACTATTCACTGGTTGCTACCATTCGTTTTGGGTTGCGCCGGTGCACACGCCTGTTCCTTCTCTCTTTTTCTCCCTTCCTCCCTCTTCCCCGCCCCTCTTCCACCTCGTACGGACTTTGCGCGTTTCCGCACTCGTTCCCGCAAGCGGGACAAGCGGTCCGCGACTGTTGCAGTGACTTCGGTGCAACGCTCGTGCACGTATGCGCGTTTTGCGTGCACAGTATGAGCGACACGCGCACCTGCTTTGTGTGCATCTTCAAACAATCGATGTGGGTTCGATTTCGACAGTGCAGTTATCGCGTAAATTCCAACGATTCTGTGATTTGTCGCTACGATTGAGAGGCGCTTGAAATCAGTAGGAATATTTTTACACATGTATACTAGAAGAGATCGGTAACGAAATAAAACTTTGATTAATTCTCTTTCATAATGTTTGAGGTTTAAAGTGCGATATTGATCTGCGCATTAAGCGTGCGTTATTTACTGAAGAAAGTTACATCATGTAGCAAAGCTTTCGCGTTTCTAGTGCAGCGTTATCGTGTTTCTTAAATATTGAATTTTCACGCGAAGACGATCGATGATGTTGAATCACAGGTGTTGAAAGTTTATTTCTACGAGAATCCTTGACATTTCTTGGTCATACGTGAAGGCGAAACTAATCAAAATTGAGATATCGATCGGTATAAAACGAATATAACGAGTAGAGAAAGGTAATTCGCGTCAAAGATTAAATTTCGTTCGTATCGGACATTTTATTTATCTAGCCTAATATTACGTCATGTCTCTACGCCAAACCCTGTGTGATATCGCACCTTGTATCTCTCATTTCTATCCTTATTGTGTAACAAGTGCATTTGTCGTTAAATATATCTTGTTTTGAACGCTGTCAAATGTTAAGACAATTAAAATTATGCGACACTTAAAAAATTAAAATATAAAATAGAAATCAAATAAAAAATTAAAATATAACAAATTTACGAGGAATCACCATTGGTTTGGTAAAGTTTCTATTTTCGATAACCGTGTTGCTTACTCGAGCAACAGTGGGAAATGCCGGCATGGCCTCAATTTTTATAATTTTGTAGAGCGTAATGCAAAGCGATCGTATCGTGCAAGAGTTTTCGTGTCAAAGAAATATAAAAGTATAAACCTTTTCTATCTCACATGAGAGGTTTAGGTATCGGAAATATTTTGTAAAATATTATCAGGGAGTATATAAGGAACTAAAAAGAAGAAAGAAAACAAAATATATCGTTCAGCAAATGTTAATTTCTGGTTGCTATGAAGCTGTCTTCTTTGCAGAACGAAACGTGTAAATCAAAATTGCGGAAAAGCTAAGTGCGGCTAAACAAATTTAGCGCCGCGAAAATTAAGACTAAACACAGAACGATCTTTTCAGATCTCTAAGCGATCGCTTTGTCCGGCGTGTAATAATATCGCGCGTGTCAGTAGGAGGTAGGGAGATGGAAGGAGGATCGGAATCTTAGCTAATTCGAGATTGGACGGGCGATTCTTGGGGGATAAAACGAAACGTATGTCTAATGCGATGAGTGAAGAGCAGGAGCTGCGCGCGGAACTCACAAGTACAATACGACAAGCGGTATGCATATACACGTGCTATAATATGAACATAATTGTTCACCGCCGTTGTATAACGTTGCTTCCAAGCGGCCTCCAACAGTCATTGCCGGAGCGTCACGTCGTGTTGCAAAAAATTACGCGATATTCCGCTGTTGTTTAACATTATTTCACGATATCGATCAAAAAAACTCGTAGATCTGAAAATATGAAACAATCACGTGAAAATCATTCGCTATTGTTATCGACAACGAGTGCATTAAAAAAAATTACTTTCGAAAGTCGAATCGTTGGCTCCTCGAGCGAAGACTCGCGTAATTATTATTTATCACGATCAATTGTTACGCTGACAGCAAATAAAATAGAATTGTTAAATAATTAAATAATAGAACAATTAAAATAGAATATGTACTTAATCGAAACTCAATTTACCAAGATAAAATTCGCGCTTGTGCTTTAAATGTATACGCGCGCGTATTTTGTACAACTTTGTTCCTTTAGCAGACGATGACATTGCACTGGTCTATCTATGTACGTCCATTTACGATGTCGTCGGACGCGCGGACGTGAATTCTCGCGGTGCCATAAGTCCCGTAGCTGATGGTGTTCATGGTCACATCGCATCGCGTCGCGTCGCCGCGTCGTTGCTTCAGGACGGCCGCGGCGGTTGCTTTTTTGCTCCGCTATGCGAAATTAACCGATCTTCAGCTTCGATCCGGCCATTTCGTTCGCGGCCTTCGCGCGTTCGCTGTCCGCGCTGACCGGCGCTATCCAGTGCGCGACGTGATGCCGCGCTGCGCTGTGCCGATTGCCGCGCGCGTCATATACAACGAGAGCGTGAAACAACGAGAGAAGACAACAGCTAAATAACGATAGATCGAAGAAAATTGGAACGCTACACTTGGCATCGTTCATGAACCCGTTACACTCGCCCAGTCATTCGGCTCTCTGTAATTACGTAACGCGTAGATAATACTGGCTGACGACGATGCGACAGCGGCGTGGAGTCGTTCGTTCGTTTAGATTCGTCAAAGCTCGCGCGCGCGTGATCGTTGCTGATCGTGCCATCCGCTCTTCCGTGCACGACGTGCTCGAATAAAACGTTCGTTATATGTTTGCATTTGCGAGCGTACGTGTATACTTACGCGCGTGCTTGTAATTCTCGGATGAGCGAGCAAATGCGACTCCGTTTCTTCGAGTCTATCGCTCGCGATATCGCCGCGGCCGCGTCGCGCCGCTTCCACATTCGAGTCGCACGAGCCACGTACGCGTCGAGTTGATGACGCCAAGTATGGTAAAGGCGAGGAGACAGCAACGCGAAATCTGACATATACCTACCTATTCAACAAATTTATTCTATATTGATCTGCACATTTTTTCTTGTCATCGTATCGATATTCGATCCGTGGGAAATTGTCGATTTCGAGGCGCGGCGGTGGCATCGCAAAACGTTATTGTTACGCCGTTTCATAAAGCTCTTCGTCGATATCTAACAACGTGATAATAAACAAAAATTGACAATTGTAGTCGACATAATTTTTTTTCTCGATTATAAAAATTGTCAGATAAATTTGAGGTTTTGCCAGTATTCTCGCTGTTAGTCAAATTTATGAGACGTAAGAAATACATGTTTGCGATAAACGGTTATACGTGCGATATAAGTTAGAAGGTGCAAAATTTGTAACGAGTATATTTGGAACATGGTTTAAGAGATACAGAATGTGAAAATTTCAAGGTTTGGCTACAGTATTCTTTATATGTATAAACAAAATTTGAAATATATAAATTTAGATTTCACCGATTATTTCTACGATAAGAAAAATTTATAAGATACAGAGAAGTCGCAATCGAGGGTGAAATTAAGCCTCGCAATAAACGAAAACAAACTCGCTCGGCTTGTGACAAATAGAACATGGAGAACTTTGCCTTGAAAGTGATATAAGTTTGTGTGATATAAGTTTGTGCGTGCTATAAAGGAAGACGTTTGCAAAGTAAAACGCATAATAGGATGCCATAAAAGTGCCATCTGGAATCACAACCAGACTATTATATACACGATTATTTTCGTATAAAGAAAAATTCAGATCCTCATCAACGAGATGCAGCGCCGAGGTATTGATTACTCTCACCATTGATGCAGATACAGAATAAATTGATCGTCGCTTCCTTCGACAAATTAATGGAAATTAATGTCGAAGTTCAAAAGATCTTTTCCTTCACTCGAAGAAACGAGGAAGCGAATTGGACATAAGCTACTTCGATGTTGCAACGACTAGTACAACGAGTAGTTGTTCGTATCCGTTTACGATAACGTGACAAGTAGAGCAACATTTTTGAAACATGTTTCGCTTGGTGATTATTTTTCAACTTGATCAGTAATTCGATCGTCATTTAATATCGGTTTAAAACGGTTTCGCAATGATAGTTCTCGAAAACCGATTCCAGAAGGACTAAACGTCATAACGGAAGGAAAAATTAAAAGAAGAAAAAAAATATATATATACAGTTTCATTAAAAAAAATCCTGGAGCAATGTCACCCAAGGTCAAATGGATATTACCGTCCAATGCGTTTTTTTAAGCCTTATAACTTTTGTCTAAACCTTTTTTTCGAAATTGCATTTATTTTTGAGATATTCGACTGTATCCAGATTTTTGGGACATCCTGTGTATATATACATATCTATATATAGCGGAGATGAATGAGGTGCGACACGTTTTGACAGCTTTGAGAACTCCCGCGAAGAGTTCGACCTTGAACAGTGGCGTCACGAGTATCGCGACGGCAACGTGGTACGACGTCCCGACGCCGATAATCGTACATTGTCGTGAGTTCCGCGATGAGACGAAACGCGACATTATCAAAAATGACGAAGCGGGAGACCGTAAAAGAACCTGCGATAATGAGATGGGAATAAGGCTCGTTGAACAAAGGATGGCCAGGTCCTTAGAAGGAGATACGAAAGTCTTGTCATCGAAAGACAATGTTTCGGAAAAAGACACGACGATGGGACCTCTCGCTGGAAGACTCTCGCAGTCTTCCGATAACGTCGACGCCGTGGACAAGGCGTCGTCGCGAAACAACGCGGAGGTCGTCGTGAATAGATCGAGTAAAGTTCGCGCGGATGTCAGGCCTTGCAGTTTCGAAGTAAATCCCGAGTTTCGCGTAAACGACTCGAGGACTCGAGATGGGAAGAGACGCAGTACTATGGAACTGAATGCCACCACGACGGTGAAGACGGACGCCGATGGAGTGCCGACCATCAGTTTTAGTTTTTTGCGCGCCGATGAGAATGTTCACGAGAACGACGACGAGATCGTTATTCTGGAGGTTGACACGAGCGATCAAACTGATTTCTCAGGAAATCAGCTGTATGATCATCCTAAAAGCGCCGTTCTAGAAAATAATCAAGCTCCCTTAGAACGAACCGGGCATGATAAGGAAATAAATTCGGGTGAGCCCTCATTACCAACGATTTGCCAGGATCTTTACGACGTGCCGAAATCAACACGCAAGGACGTGTCTTCGAACGATTTGCAAGAGAAAGAGATGCCAATCTGCAATCCCGCTCAAGAAAACTGCAAGAGCACGAATATAATTGTTCCACCTGAGAAGAATAAGAACCAACAACGCGATCAGATGAAACGTTCTACCAGATCGCTCAAATCTGGCAGAAGAAGCTACGGCGCGTCAGATAGCGACGGTTACGACGCCGGCATAGCGTCGATGTCGGGCTCGTATTCGGATCCGGAGTGCCCGAACGAGGCGGCGTTGTCGGAGAGTGGTGATTCGAGCCGCAGCAAGCGACTGAAGTTGCAGAAGCGACGACTGGGCAAGGCTTGGGGTAGGATGCGTAGCTGGCTGCGAGAGGAGAAGACCAGGATCGGCCAAGTGGTCAACAGGCACGCCAAGTTGCAAGCGGTTGGCGCGCTCAGTCCCGAGGTAGTGCCGAAAAAAAGAGGAAAGAAAAGATAAGAAATCTTGGCACGATTATAGTAAACATTAGTTAAAATCGGTCGAATGTAAGGAAACTAGATTGATAACATACTAGTTATATTATCTGATTCTCAAGAGATGGCATTAAACGTACGGTCTTTATAGTAGGTAAACACAAATAGCAGATAAAATTTAGAAACCAATTGTATTCATTCAAGTTCTTTAAATTTGAGATAATTTTAACTAATGTACTATTAATACGTTTATAGTGTTACTTAATATGGAAAATTAAGAGCGAGAAATTTTCGGTCCAGAAACGTAAAATTTATATTTTATATAATTCATTACTTCAAAACTTTGACGTTTAAATTAAACCTTATATGGACTTTTTTGCTCCTGTTCTCTAATTTTTTTACATATATTTTTCCAAACATCCTAAATACGAGTTGAACAATGCGATACAAGTTACCAAGATTTCAGATTCTTTCATTTATCTCGATCGATTTTTTATTGAAAATTCTCGCATCAAGGTGCGAAGCAATTGTGCCACTCCCACGGGAACATCTAAGAGCAAGCAGCGTGGCTTCTACGATCTAACGCGAGCTCACACCCAGGAGTCTGGTTCGATCACCAGAGTGGAGGAGTTTGGTCTATCGTCGGTGTCGGAGGAAGCGAACGTTTCCGATGACACGGAGAGACCAATGTCAGCATCGCCCGATTCGGGGAAGATGTCAGCGAACAGAACGAGAAGATTGCGCGGCAACCTGCGAAGAAAGACGGCCAGTTCGGACAACATTTTGGAAAGCGACAGGACAAAGTTACAGTTGCCAGGATCTTTGAGCATGGATAAACTATGCTCACATGTGACAGAGAACGACGAGATGAAAACGACACCAACGACGACGGCGACGACGATGGCGACAGTGCCGACAATGACGACGATGATGGCGGGGACCAGTGATGCCGAAGCGTCGGGGGATCACGGTGGGAAAAGTAGTCTGATTAAGAGGAGAATGCTCGGCTCAATTAGAGGGTTAATGGCCTCGACTCATCTATTGCAAACCTACGAGTCCGACGAGGTACTTGCGCTCTTATTGCTTCTTTCTCACTGCTAAGATCACTGGTGTCTGTGCACTTGTCATGACACTGACATGTTGAACACTTGCGACAATACGATCGAACATAACGCACTCTTGAAAACTAGAAAGAAATGAAAAGATTAGATACGCGTGTACGAACGGGACTAAAGGATGTAGTCGATGTTTATATGCGTGCATGTGTGTTTTCATTGACGCTCTAAAGCGAATTCCGGATGTGAAATATAGACACCCGTACGCGCGTGCATTCGAATACAGAAACACATCACTGATATTTGAATAATCTCATTAAAATTAATAGGAGTGTGCACATCGCGCTTGTAACGGATAGGACCACAAAGTTTGTAACTAACTTACTAACGCGACGCAACAATGGATGTGGATTAATATCGGCACGTGTGAAGTTGTTAATAATCTTATTAGGACACGATGAGTAAGTTTGTTGATAGAGTTTGGTAGAGTCCAATAAAATGAATTTCGTAACGCAAATTTATAAAATACGTTTCTTAGATATCTTTTAAATGTTACGTTACCATCGAACATATATAAATACATACATAAAGTATTCATTATTTTCATTTAAGAAGAAGAAATCTTTTACGAGAAAAAGAAAAAAATTTCTTGTCAAATCACATGCTTAACATGTTTTACTAGTCATGACACGTCCATTACCGGCTATCTAAACGATATTACCACATTTCCACAGATATTTTACAATAAATATAAAGTAGCCATTTCGATGAGATGCATGCGCGATAAATCAGCGACACTTAGAATCAACAGGAAAAAATTAAATGTCTGCTTTCTTTTCACATATTGCTTTCAGCGATGACATTTTCATCGAAAATCGCTTTCATCTGTACAACAGACTTTTCTGACGTGTTTAGAATGCTTTTTGTTGATCTATCAAGTCATTACATATTATTTACGCGAATTTGTTATGCACGAAACATTTCTTTTTGTGTGTGCGTGCGTTTTATGAAGTCCAATTCCTACTTCTCTGACCTCTGCATCTCTGACGTTGTATAAAAAGATTTATTCGTCAAATATGTTTGTGTGTATCTCGTTATTAAAATTTTTATAACAAGAATTTATAAAATAATGGATATTTACTCAACTTAATATCATTGAACCAAAACTGTACGTAAATACAATAAAATATTCATTAAATTATGAAAAAATAATAAAAATTGATCCAACGAATTCTCATAATGATTTAGGTTTTTTTTTTTATAAAACTATTACTAGAATTCATTGCAAGAGTGAATATATAGTTATATAAATGAATCCAATTATTGTATCAATAAATTAACTACATTAAGTTGGACATTGATTAACGATTATTCATTGGACTAAAAATGACCAAAATTTTTTCAGTGTGTCCAGAATGATTAATCAGAAAAAATGTTCTAATATCTAATATTCTAATATAATATAATATCTCAATCATATTTCTGTATGTGTATATACATATATATGTTTAATAATTAATATATTTACACGTAATTATATAAAATACAAAATCAAGCCATGCCAATTTCGAAAAAAAATCTTTGTTTTTTACTTCGTCTCTCATTTTTCAGTTCATCGTTTTCTAATTCTGCTTTCCCCAAGTTGAAATTTTACAGGCCGTTTGTCCGATCGAGAGATTTATTGACTGTCCAAGAGAAATGGCGCTAAGCGGCCAAGCACGAGCATGTCTTGAAGCATCGCAAAAGCAAAGCATGGAAAGTGTGGGAAAGTTACACGGAGAAAATAGCCAACTCTGTTTTACACACATACATATGCGCGCGCGCACATACACGCTTGACCGTCTTCCCTACGTGTTCTCATGTGTGTCTCGAAGATCGCATATGCGTGTAAGCTGTATATTTAAAGACATGTGACTGTGAGGAACAGGACACTGTTTCTCTGTGACTTATACATTTGACCGTGGATTTTTCAATAGTGTGGCACAGAAGTTGACAAGTTTCTCCGAACAACATCGAGCGATGTACGATATAATTGTTACCACGATTAATAATTTTTGTTAAGATTTCTCAGGTCAGCATCTTCAATGCAAATTCAGCTTTGCTTACGATTCATTTATTTTAACTTTAATTTTGTAAAAATATCGCGCAAACCATCATACAAGATATAGTGCAATTGTTATGTAGAATTCGAGTGAAATGCATTTTTATCTGCATTTTATTGTCCGTATTTCTGATGACTTCTGGTATTATTACCAAATTAGAGCATGACAATTTAACGGACTGATGGTCACGAGCTACTGACTCAAAGCAACGCTCGTGGCGATGAAAGTTTCTTTGTCGAACGATAAATATGATAGATAAATTATCTGATATGACGAAATATAAAAGCATGTTTCGTTTGAAAATTTACACGCAGAAATTCTCGTATTAACGTAATCGAGGATGCGAGTGAAGAGACATTCACATTGAGCTACTGGTTAAGTAGTTGGTTTTATGTAATCGTGCCATATATATTTTTTCGATCGAACTTGTATTGACATTTAAAACGCGAGATTGCCACGCGCGAATAAATTATTAAAATTGAATTGGCCCAATAAGTGAGCCAAGTTCCATGATGGTGATATATTTCAGAAATGTTATGTAGATCTCGACTAAATGCATATTACGCTATAATATGATAAATTCAATGGTTATCGACTGGTCATTGACTCGCGCACTTGTTCATTGTAAGTGAGTGGAAATAAACCACCTGTTGCAAGTGCACGCCCATTTGTCGTCATCGACCTACTATAATCGAAGTATCGATTAACCTTTCAATCGTCCAAATTGGTAATAACTACACCAACTCGTTTCATCTCGATTGTTACCTGGGAATGCATATAATTGCATTTATTATTATATATATGAACCTATTTTTTCATGGTATAACGACGTATTAAAATATTTTTGAGAGAGCGCAAGCAAGAGAAACAGGTAGAAATTCCAAACGAAATTTTATTTCATTATATAAACCGCTTGAGAGAGAGAGAGAGAGAGAGAGAGAGAGAGAGAGAGAGAGAGAGAGAGAGAGTAGCTCACAGCGCCCATAAATCGTTAAAAAAGCGCTAAAAAAAGTGTATACTAAGCGCTTTTAACGCTTTGCAGATGTTGCTGTGCTACTTAGACGGTATCTTTACTAGTAAGACTACGTGCTCATTTTTTTTGTTTCTTTTTATATTTCATGCAGTTTACAATAACCTAAATATTAAGAAAATTAAAAAAATATATATTTCATGTCGCCTGCGAATATGCGAATATTCTATTTACAGAGATAGAAAAACGGCGAAATTTTTCCCGCTGATTTCTATATGAATATAAATGTAACATACATACATTTTTTATATTCCTTATACATGAATTGTTATCTACAAATCAACACTAGGATTTTATTGTCTCTTAATACTATTGTAATGAAACGAACAATGATCAACGTTTTAAAATTACGAATATAAAACACATTCAGTTGAAAGATGAAGCTGTCGCTTGGCAAATCGATTATTGATCACACGTTTAATTATTACCTGCTAATTGAACGGATACATGTCGGACTGATAATTACATTACAATAAAACGAGAAGACGTTATCCAAGATAAATTGTTGCTAGTAAAAAAATTAGCGAAACTAGTGGATATACATATATGAAAGTGTTTTTCCCCATGCGTGACATTTTATCAATTCACTAACTAAACTGATTACAACTTTCGCCGTATCGCCGACTCTAGAAATTTCTCATGTATACAAATTTATCTCATTCTACTAATACACCTTCCCTTGTTTTATTACATGTATATATGTAGTCTGCACTAGAGCGCAAAACAATCTTTTCCTATAAAGAATTAATACAACATTTGAGATGAGCTCGTAATATAAAATAGATTTTGATTTATTACAAATTGATGCAGAAATCTTTCACTCTTTAAGTGGTTGTCATCTTAATATGAAATAAATGTATCGAGAAATTACCCATCAAACAAACTGATATTATTTGTAATTATTTTGATATTATTCTGTTAAAGACGTCATTTTAACATCAAAATTTTAACGATAAATAACATCAGCTTATTTGCTAGGAAGGTGCGCGCTTCTTAATATCTAATAATTTTTTTAACATCTAATATGATTAAACGCGATTATGGTTTACGTTATTGTTAGCTTTCTCTTGACGAAATGCCGAGAAGTATAAATGTAAATGGCAAATTGCCATAAGAAACGCTTTCGGTAAAATTTAGATTGAGTCTATAGAAAGTTGCTCCGTCATTTTGTTAGTCGCGTCACAAATAAAACAGATGTTCTATTGCGTGACAATCGATGTGCGTATCGATCGCAGGTATTTTACACAAATCTAACGTGAGATTTTATTGCGTGACTTCGAAAATGACGGATATTGTTGATATTATTAACGAAAGTATATTTCGCGAAATTGTGCAGTCATTTAACAATTTGCATTAAAAATTATAAATAGTAACTTCAATTCATAAAAACAAATGCTTTACTTTGTATACAAAACTCATCATTGTCTTTCCGTACACAATACACAGATAAAGAAATAGATACTATATAACGATTCTTAAAAAAAAAAATTACTATGTTCTTGCAAGATCTCCGTATCTCCTACTTTGTTCATCAAATTATCAGATCGAAATCTCTGAAACTTTATCGGTAATATCGATTCTGAAAGAGTAGCTCTTTGAAATCGATCAACAGCGCAAAAACGCGTTATAGATAATACGCGATTCGTTTATTTATCGTTACAACGACAAGAAAAATATGAAAAATGGAAAAAAACGCAACTAAGAAAAATATGTTAACAACTGGAAAATTGTCAATTATATTTAGAAAAAACGCGCCAAATTTATTAGAGGAATATTTCATATTCCTGATTCGTTTACTAAGATTTTAAGTCAGTGCGAATGACTTTTTAATATCTTGCATAACTTGTACACGTTATAATCGCGAGAATATGCATAGACATGCGAATGACAGAAATGTAATATGTCCTTGCCGACTCTAATATTTCTATTACTATTACTTCTACTACCACCACTAGAGAGATATTATGTAACATGATTGTACATTATGACTAGATGTCGAGTTTGTATCGATGAAACTCGACAACTCGTTCTCACTCGAGAATATTTTAATAAATGAAAATTTTTTATACGTTATGTGAAATTGTAGCTAGCTAATGATAATCCGTCGTTTAAAATTGATTTAGATATCACTTTTTACTTCTTATTTTTACATTGTAAATATTTGAAGCAAACAATTTATAAATCTCATCTTCAATGGCTGCGTTTTGAATTTTTTTAAATATACGTCGTTCGCATTAGAACGTAATTATCGACGACATAGAACTCAATTCGTTTGACCGACTTTGAATTATCAATCGTATTTAACGCGCCATGCTTCAATAACTTCGTAGAAAGGTGATTTTCTGTTATTGAAATCGTCAAATGAATTTTATTTAAGCACGATCCAATGTGTACTTAACAAACACACGATGACTAATTCTGATTTCTTTCGTTACAGTCCTACATTATATGATATATTATACCAATATTGTAAAAACTTATCATATCTTCGTATGTACAGAGTGTCCTATAACTCTCAATTAATATTTCTGGGAGTAAAAGAGGATGACATTTTGAACGTTTTAAAAGTGTGTGTGTTTCTTTTCCAATTTTAGGTCAGACCATTATTTACCGAGTTATTAACGATTAAAGATTACTCAATCAGATTACGCCCAGCCGGAGTGCGCAAGAGTGCAATATGCCATAGAGCTCTTCGCGCTTACTGTACATTCTCTCGATTAAAATTTTATTATAATTTTTCATATTAATTAACAAATAAATGAATAAATCAATAAATAAGTAGATAAATAGGTAGATTATTTATTTATTTATTTACACTGAAAAAAAATTTGCTGAATTTTAATAAATATTTTTTTTAATAGTACTAACGAAATATGTACTTATAATAAATAAGTATTTACTTAAAATAAAAAAGTTATGCTAAAATCAAATAAATATGTGTTTACATTCAGTAAATATTTCGTTAGTATTATTGAAACAAATACTTACTAAAATTTAGTAAATTTTTTTCAGTGTATTTATATGAAAAATTATAATAAAATTTTATAATACAAGCGATTTATAATAACATTTTTTAATACAAGCGATAGATGTAATTAATTAGTTAGCGTAATTAATTAGCGTTGTTTTAGACTATTCATTGAAAAGGATCATATTAAGAGTCGAAACGTATGAATTTATTTTTTATGTAATATCATAAATATAAGATTTGACACAAGTTAACCAGTCAAATTCTAATAACTATTGATTTGTATTTATTTGAAATCAAATTTTAATCGAGATAATGTACAGTACGTATGGGGAGTCTTATAACATTTTGCACTCCTACGTACTCCAGGTGGGCGTAATCTGATTGAGCAACTTTATTGACTTTGTAAATAACGATCTGAGCCAAAATTGGAAAAGAAACTTTTAATTTAAAATGTCATCCTCTTTTACTGCTAGAAATATTAATCAAAAGTTATAGGACATCCTGTATACATCCTAGTTAATTAGCACATATAATACAGCTCTTTCGACTTTCCTCAAGGTTTACTTACAAGCGAGTCAACGCTTACTTTCACCGGGTACCTCGGGCTGTGATTAAGCTTTAATTCGAATCAAGTGTCAGTCACCTTGGCGCGGCAGACGAAAAGAAGTGCGATATTCGATAGCCACGGGAACGTTTATCATGCACGAATAAAACGCCTTTCCATTATAGCTGCGGTGTTTATGATTTTATCGTAACTGCTTCCGGGACGAGCCTTGGAGAAAAGAAACTTCCTCTCTCTAGGATACGACAATATTTTATTCAAGTTGATGCTGCGCATCTATTAAGATACAAAAGAATTTAATAATAAGAAAATAAAGGAGAAAATGAGCACAACTGCTATTAATATATACAAATATTTAAATAGTATTTCTTACATACTATACAAGTATATATATGTATATATATAGGGTGTCTCACAATCACTGTACAATACTTTCATATCATATCCTAAAGAGAGATAAAGTAGAATAAAAAACCCTAATACAAAAATTTTATTGTATGCAATGTACAAAATATTCTTTTAAATTTTAATACGCAATGCTTTCCATGGTTATTTAATATAAATACGTTATAAAAAGACTGTTATGATGCTGAAGATAGAAAAAAATATATATCAATTTATCGTTACCAGAATTATCATGATGAGAAAAAAATGTAACAAAATGATACTTTTTCTGAAAAAATTCTTTTGCTTCTTTCTTGGTTTTTCTTTTTTTTATATAAATATTAAATAACTTATTGTCTTATCGTTATGTAATTTCGTTCTTGTAACATGCAGGGAGGACAAGGCGGTTTCGAGGATGTGCGAAGATATGTCAAACAAGGAGGCGACTTTTGCAAGGACTTGGCATCGATTCTTCATGAAAGGTATTTTTTAAACGTTTTTTCCCATCGTTCGTCGCACATGCGAATTTTTCAATGAGAAATTGTGAAAATACGTTTCAGAGCCGAACTGGAAGCTACGTATGCGAAAGGATTGAGCAAACTCAGTAGCAAGCTGACAAAAGCCTGCGCCAAAGATCAAGGTGATTATCGGTTCTTTTCGGTACAAATTAATTTTATGCGCCCATCGCGTTAGTATAGGACATTTGATCGATAATCAGGCGTAAACAATTGCAACTGTTTCTATTTAATAATACATGAGAGTTTAATGCGAAATTTTTTTTTTGCAAAAATTATTAATAATGAGTATCTCTTGACTTTTTTCTTCATCAAAAATATTGAAAATTAACAATTTATACATATGTATATTTATAGACTTGATGCGCAAACATAGTAATCGCAAGTTTTAATAAAAGAAAAGACAAAATTTAGCTTTAGGAGGAAGAAATTTTACTCTCTTTTTCTTATTGTCTGCAGTCTTATCTGTTTATTAAATTTACAAGGAGAGGCTACACTCTGCTCTTCACTGATTTTGATCAACTTGCAGCGATGTTAGAGGACCCTATCAAATAAATACCTGTAAAGCCGTTCCCGCTAATGGGCCTCTGAAGCCGAGTAACGAGCATTAAAAAATATATTAAAAATCTGGAAACAGTCTAATATCTCGGAAAGTATGCATTTTCGAGAAAAATGTCTTAAATGGTAAGGTTTAATAAAATGTATTTACTGGTTTTATTGGTTTGACCATTAGGTGGCATCGCCAAGGTCAAGTCAAGGTTGACGATACCTCCCAAGAAAACCAATAAAGCCAGTAAATACATCTCATTAAACCCTACCAATTTTGTATAAGACATTTTTCTTAAAAATGCATGCTTTCCGAGATATTAGACTGTTTTCAGATTTTTTGATATATTTTTAAATGCTTATTGCTCGGCTTCTAAGGCCCATTAGCGGGAACGACTTTCAGGTGTTCATTTGATAGGCTTCTCTAACATTGCTGCAAGTTTGATCAAAATCGGTGAAGAGTAGAGCGTAGTCTCTCCTTGTTGGTATGAGGCTCCGGTTTATCTTTTTGAGTAGTATATGTGTAGTAAATATCAACGAGAACGCAGTGTGTTGGCGCGTTGCGAAATACAGACGGTGCCCGTAGCAATCGTCTCTTCTAATTGTAAGTATGGATCTCCTCTTTCATAATACAGGTGGTAATAGCAACGGAGGTGTGAACGAGGCGTGGAGGTGTGTCGGCGAGGAGATGGAGGCTGCAGCGGAAGCACATCGGTTATGGGGCATCGCGTTAAGCGAACAACTTGCCAAACCGCTCAGAGTAAGTCCGAGTCTAGGGAGATGATTACGATGATCAGAAGACCGCGTGAAAAAGACTGGATGCGCAACCGTGTACTTACGCAACGTCACGATCGGACACGATTATTGCAAAACGACAAAATTAAAATCGCCCAAAGAAAATTTACCTTGATATTTTTTCAGACAACACAAAGTGTCCAAAATTGGGACATAAGACATCTTTGGCATCAACCCAGCTAACACAAATTCTAAAATTGAGATATAAAACTTCAAGACGTTAGATGTCTAAAAAACGTTTTGAAGTTTTATATCTCAATTTTAGACTTTGTGTTATCTGGGTTGATTCTTTTATATCGTACACGAATTATATTTCGCTGGCGAAAAGTGCATCGAATCAGATCACAAATATTAAAATGACAAAAATTTGAGACGTGACATTACTACATTACATCATATATATATATATATGCGCAGATAAATACATAAAGTTGACTTTCTCTTTGCGGAAACTCGCATTACTTGCAACCGAAAAGATTCAATCTTGTAATAGCATTGAACGAATTGAATCGAAAAACGAAAGGAATAAAAGGATAACACATATATGTAACACACAGGTGGGTGTAGCGGAGACGCAGGGCCGATCGAGAAAGAGCATCGAAAATTCGGTGGACAAAGCATCCAAGTCGCTGCAAGAATGGCGTGGAATAGCGGCAAAGAGTAAAAAGCAGAGCTTTGCGTGCGCGCGCGAGAACGAGAGGTTGCAGGATTTGGCGCGGTTGCAGACCATCAGTCAAAGTCAGCAGAGCAACAATAGGTCGTCGACGTCGAGTCATCACGTTACGGAGAAAGAAGCGAGCAAACTGGAGACTAGACGAAGGAAAGCCGAGGACTCTTCGCGACGAGCGGACACCGAATTCTACACGGTCAGCGTGAGAGCCGAGAGAGCTAGGCTCGAGTACGAGAGCACGATGAAGAAAGGCGCGAAGCAGATGGAATTGCTCGAGGAGGAACGACTGAGCGCCCTAAAAGACCTCGCCAACGTGTACTTGACGCACTTGCAGGCGCTCGCGCCGCGATTGCAGCAGGTAATATACGAACATTACAAACGATCGAAATAATCGCGCGATTACGCACCATGCAACTGTATTTTTTACTTATCGTAAAGATATAATTTGAATTTCTCAAATATACGATAATAAGATTATCTCGGTGATTTAAAGGCTTAGGCCTCTCGCACGGAATGCAAGAGATCCGTTCGACTCCCGGCCGAGGCAATATTTTTCGCAATAAGTTTATCACAGTTTTTTAAGATTAAATTTGGAAAATTTGGGATTATTAATATTTCAGATTGATTGCGTTAAAAGTCCGACAACCATATCGGCACGCAATTACAATTTTTGAAATTAATTCATTTAAATAAATATATATAATAGTTCTCAACATCTTAACATTCAGACCGTAGTGACGCTTCGTATTTAAAGTAATGTTTCTCAAATATACTTTCTTAGAGCGTCGATCGCTTACTAACGCCCGTGCGCAGTTGCAACGTGTCGCAGGACTTAGAGATCCTAAAAAATCTCGTACGCCGAATGGATAATCACGATGTGACGAACGCGGAACAATTATTGCCGGATTTCTACGCCGAACACGTGACTTTAGCGATGAACCGCGAACGGCGAAAACAGGCATTGGTGAGGGTGCTGCATCTGATAAGGCAAGATCTCGAGCGAGAAAGACGAGGTAGAGAAGGCCTGGAAACATTACACCGAGCTTTCGTTAAGACTCCAGCGTTTGCGGCGGACGAAAGCACACAAAACGTAACGGATAAACTAAATCACGTACGTATGTCGAGCATGGTGCATTTATCGTTAATCTGACATAAGGCCTACTCTTTTTGGCTAAACTTTTGCACTAGTTCATCTTTCTTTCTCTTCTTTCTTGCTGGAGAGAAAAGGAAAAAAGATGAACTGATGCAAAAGTTCAGCCAAAATTACAGGCTTATAGTCAGAGTTATTATTTTGTACTAACAATAAATACAGGCGCGCGATATAAAAAATAAATACGTTTCCGCAGATGCGTTCAATGTTGTTGTACTTGGAAGCGGCTAGGTATAAAGTCAGTGGTACGCTCGCTGAAGTGGAGGGTAGCAAACGAATCAAACATCCCTTATCGGACCATATTTTAGTTTCGAGAGACAAGCAGGGTTTGCAGCAAAGTGTTCTCAAGGTATAGTATTTTCAAGACTAACTTTTCAAACTGTGAGGGGCAGTTGAATTAATCACGGATGAAATAGCGCACAAAATTCCTTGAGGATACCAATAGAACCGCCTAATAGGATACTTCAGAATTAGTTTAGAAGTGAAGTGGGAACAATCTCGTTATTATGTTGAGAATTGCGTACTATAAGAGGTTCCAGTGTAATCCTGAACTTTAATATATTGGGTTAGAGAAAAAGTCTTTTTACAAGTTGGTATAGAGGACTTTTAGCAACCCATATATTCTATTTTTTAAAAATTGACAATTACACCATTTGACAGAGCAACGTTTCAGCTTTAAGTATCTGTATTTTTAATTGCAATATGATGATTTTTAATGGAGTTACAAGCAATAAAATCAGAATGTTCCTTTTTACTTAATTCGCGAGTAACTCGGGTACAAAAGAATCATAGGAACATTTAAAAAAAATGAGTTTGTAGGGGAAACTTCAAGCTTTCACGATAGATAGTCGAAAATTTGCTCAAATTTTTTTTGGGCACGCTACAACTATAAAGTGAAAAGAAAATTTTTCATTTTTTTCAGCTCGTAGTTTTTTATATGTAAAAATTACAAAACTGACATAAATTAAAAAAATGTAGTAACCATTTGAAAGTAGAGATTTCAAGCTTTAAAATCCTTTTTTTAAATTTAAATTTTGATCATTTTTAACGAAGATATCGATTGGGAAAGATCTTTTTACCAAGTTGTAAAGAAACTTTTTCCCTAACCCAATATATATATATAATATAAAATCGAAAATGTCATATAAAACAAGCAAGATCTTGTATTCTCTGATCTCCTTGCAGATTCCTTCTTGGGCAAAGAATGAATCTTTCGAGGTTCAGGACAGTGACGACGACCTCGAGTTGCATTTGACCAAGGATCAGGACGGCGAAACTCGCGATTGGAATGATCGCACTGCCGGTGACGGCAATTCAGAGAATCCACCGGACGAAGATGATTTTAGTGACTTCGACGAGTTTAGCAGTCACTCGGAAGACAACAACAATCAAATTGATGGTACGGAAGTACCTTCAGCTAAGATTGAACGCGCAGAGCAATGCCGAGCGATCTACCAATATTCCGCGAAACTAAATGACGAGCTCAGTCTTAGTCCGGGAGACCTGATAACTGTTCATCAGAAACAGCCAGATGGCTGGTGGATAGGCGAGTGCAGAGGCCGTACCGGTATATTCCCTGCCACTTATGTCCAAGTCATTCATTAGCATAAACGTGAATGATTTCACATTATATTGATATGCATAGGGAGATATATACATACTAACATTTCAAAGAAAACGTGATGAGACGTCGACCACGTGTAATGATGATAGTATCCTCTTACAGGAGTTTCCATCTGGCTTCGTTAAATCAGATAAGAGTATTATAATGTGCCAATAACGTTACATGCAACGATTACTTTATATTTGCACATATCGAGGATATTCGATCACAAGTTCGCATAAAGATGACTTGAGAATACCAAATAGTAGTTACCATCACATTCAATACATCTAGTGTCGAGGTCTGGTGGAAATATTTTAATCATGTCGTTATTATTTTTTTTTTTGCGCTATGTATACATTTATCGTTACTCTGTTACTACTATATATAATAATTAATGCTTGTTTATACGTATCGTTAAAACGTACTGTGAAAAAGATCGGTCTGAGTTACGACTCCGAATAGTTTTATTAATTCTGATGACAATGCATTTTAACTCATCGTGCGTATTATATCTATAATTCTTATAAAAATAAGCAATATAAGTTTAATCGCATGATCTATCTTACTGAAAAGTTACTTTCCTAGCATGAAATTATATTGATACAAATCTTTATAACTGGTGTATTTCTTTAATTTGTCGTTATAAAAATTATGATTGCTTATTGTATTTATTTACAATTTTTTCTTTTGTCACTATATTTCAGCTTGGGAATATTATTTTTCAAGTATGCTGTATATGTACATATATCTCACTTTTAAAGTCAAGATTGTTACACGCGCGCGCGTGTATGATAATTTTTTCTTTGTAATTTATTGAAAATTTATGAGTCATGTGAAAGTATGTAGCGAAGTGCGAACTCTCGAAACAAACTGTTTATGAGAGGACAAAACCGCGCGCATGCAAATATAAAAAATTATGTATGTATTGTGTATACATATATAATTATATATTTGTATCAACAATCAATTATAAATATCCAGATATATGTATAAGAAATTATTAAGTATATATGTATACTCTACCAGTACTGATATAATTAATTTATTTACAAAAAAGTTGTTCATTTCAGTGCGCAATTTGTTAATCCTCCGTATGGCCAAAGTAATCCTGTTGCAATTGCTTTTTTATCTCTTCTATGACATCAGTGCTATTGGCTGTAACAAAATGATTGCGTAACAATATCATGAAATAATAACGTCATTATTTGATGCAATTACTACAACACACCACAAAACGGACTGGTACTGGCTGTAGCCACGAAAAAACTTCCACGTTGATTGTATATTTCTGCTCTAATGCCCATTTCCGAGCAAATGTTTTCATCACATGGTTCCGCAATTATTTGTAAAAAATGCCTATATGTAAAATTCCATTGGTGTGCCCAGAAACTGCAATTACGCGCAGTAGCAGACGTTAAAGATTCTGTGAGATAGACGTAAGAACGTCCGTGACTACATATCGCTCGTTGTATCGCTACAAGTGTAACAACAAATTTTTTTTACTTATTGTTAGTTCCAGTTAACTAGTTGATAATCATTTTATACTAGCACTAGCTAGTTAATAGTCATTTTATACTAACCAGCTGTAGGAATCGGTAAGTAATCGAAGTATGACGTTCGTACACAGCCAGGTTGCGTTTTACCGCCGTTCGGGTAGAAATCAACATGACCTATTTACAGGATATTAGGATTAAGAGATTAAATAAACGAGCTTCTTGGGAATTACGATTCCAAAGTTATACATTGTCGAGAAAAAGAAAAAAGTGCGCGCGATAAGCTATGGATGGATCAAGTTTCAATCAAGCTACCTATAGCTTCGGGTAAACCAAGTCCCAGACTCGTGAGTAATCTGCCGTTTGTATGTATCACGTCGACAAATGGTGCGTCATTTTTATGTAAATGAACAGATGTATCAGCCTTGCGAAAACATGGCTGCGCCGGATCCAAACCAGTGATTCTCTGCACAGTCCATTTGTTCTGCCTTTTTTTCAGTTCTCTTGCGGCAAATCCGCAAATGTGAGCACCGAGACTATGTCCTACCAGATGTAAAGGACCCCAATTATTTACGCCCGGCTGCGCGATTGTAGCGTTCGTTACGTGTTCTATAAATCTTGGTGAACAAGTCGACATTTAGAAAGCATTAGCAGATTAATCTATACATAGGCAATACAATCGTTCGAAAGCGTCGCGGCATTTAGAACTTCTTTCGAATTTATTGCATTGTCTGACAAATTACCAATTACCATGTATCACATATACTTTTTGCGTACGCACTTTGATAATTGATATCCGACTATTCTGGTATTAACCGCTGCTTTGTAATAATTCCACGTATTACCGCCGGCGCTCCAATCTATTATCACCACGTTAACATCACCCTGTATACAATCATATACGATTCCATAAAAAATGAGTGACTATTTAGAAAATGAGACTGCAGTCGATAGACTCACCCATTCGAGTAATGCCTTTTCCATGTCCCTAATCCATGTTTCTTGACCATGAGACAGAAAACCGTGTACTATGACCACCGTCCTGCGTTCTATTTTAAAGTCTGTCCATTCTAAACCGAACTGTTCGCCAAGCACTACTTGTACGCGGTGAGGTTGTTTCCTAGAGGACAAAAGAAATTGCACGTCCAAGGCGTCACTCCCATTAGGTTTACTTCTAAAGAACCACTCCAGAGTCGCCGCGACTGTCTTTCCCAGTCCGAAGCAGTCCACTTGTCTGGATTGTTGTGCATCTTGCGACGAATCGCTGAATAACTCGCTCGAGTTGCCTGTGCGAGTGGACGATGTATATGTGAAATTCGTCAGAGTAGTAGTCTCATTAAATAGAGGCAGAGTTGTAACGAACGTCGTTTCATTCAGTCCATGTTCAAAAGACCGAGTTACGTTTGTCAAATGCGGATGCCATGAGCGAAAACATTCTCCAATGGAAAAATGGTACAAAACGGTGAACGTAAGAATGATTGCAAATACCATCGTCATCACCGACTAGCACATTGGCTTTTGATACGTCTTTTAACATACATGTATATATATGAAATACTTTATCATCCCATTTTGTTAGATAAGCCATGACGACTCGTACTCAATCGGAAAATTTTTAGATAAACAACTTGTCCTCACTCTTATACAGTTAAAACAACATTGATTAAATAAAAATGAATTGACTTCTGATAATACGTTATCGAAAGTAGTTAAAAATCGATATAATATTGTAATATTTTTCATTTATTTAGAAAGAATCAATATTTCTTTTTATTTGAACTGATAAAAAGGGGAATAACAATTTAAATTTTTTAATTTGACTCGTATTAATGAAAACTAGTTATTAATAACATTAATAACTAGTATTAATACAGGGTGCTCAATGATATCTGGCTAATCAATTCAAGGATAATTCCAGAACGTTCTAGGTAAAAATCCTAATTTTCTAGGTCAATTAATTTTCATTAGTTGATTCATTTTCATCGATTCACATATATTATATTTTGTATTCAAGTTAAAATTTTATATGATGAATTAATTAAAACGTAAACAAATTTGGATTTAGAACAATATTATCTAATACTTTATAAGTAATAAAAGAACATTCAACACACAAAAGATGATTGCTCTGCTATATTCGATTACAGACATTAAATCTAAGTTTTCTGTTAGTAACTTGTCTTATTGCATTTTTAAAAAAGGGTTTATATCTAAATACAACTTTTCTTTTTATTAACATATCACAAACATCTTAAGAAATTATTAATTTATTGGCGCTTTATTAAATTATTAGTTTAATTTTTAATATCCGCACTTGCTTTTAAATGTCATCTAAATTGATCATAAAATTTATTGTTATCGATATAGTTCTTGCGCAAGCGCGGGAAATACTTCTAATTTCTTTCGTTTTTCATAATACGATTTTTTTTTATGAAAGAATGACAAAATTCCAGGTCAGTCCTAAAATTATAGGGATTTTTCAGAAGTTTTTCAAAATACATTAAATTTCAGGATAATTCCAGGATTTAAGGTTATTCAAGGATCGATAGACACCCTGTAACTAAAACTAATAACATAAAATATTTCCAACACGAGTATACGAACGTAATTATTATATGAATTCTATATCTATTTTCATAGAAATGCGTAAAAATTATATTTATACACACATGTATGCACATATACAGTACCGATCTAAAGTTTGGATGCATCTGTATAAAACGGCTGTAATAGCCTTTCTCACTAATTGTAAGAATTTGAACAATTCTAGCAATTTAACGGTTGAAATAGCCTTACTTATGCGATGTGATGATCTGTGCTCTTTTTTCACAACTGATTTGGATCCATTCTGAATATCAGAATCATGAATGTGTGAAATTATATTGAAAATTATAATAACGGATTTTTGTAACATTCTCGCAGCCTTATCTTGTTTATGTTAACTTTTACTATCTGACGAAATATAATTATAATTTTTTTTTACGAAGTATAATTGAAGATCGATATATTTATTGTTTTGCAACTCTTGAGCGATTCTCCGAATCGGCGCTTTTGTACTGATTGGCCGGTATCTTGCAATAAGTTTTTGGTTGATGTCTTACGAGTAACGTAGGTTGTAATTTTTATATATATATATATATA